AATAAATCCTCGGCTGCTGTTAAAAACACCTCCTCTTCTCTTCTCTTGTCTTCTCTTCTCTTCTCTTCTCTTCTCTTTTCTTCTCTTCTCTTCTCTTCTCTTCTCTTCTCTTTTCTTCTCTTCTCTTCTCTTGCCTGCTTACATATTTACTTTTGTGTAAATACTTTTTGCTGTATATTTCCCTGCCTCACCACAACACACACTGGAATTAGCTACTGCTGTAATTTGATGTGGTTAAAACACAAGTTTATCTTAATATACATAGTAAAAGAAAAAAAAAACAGGAGAAAACCTGACCCACACTAATTTATGGCCACAATCTCATTTCTTCATCATAATGATTCATGCCAGTTTTAGAATGATGTACTCCAGGATTAATGATTTAAAACTCATTATTGCGTGCCATATGTTATATGGTAACTGCGTATTTTAATTCACTTTGCCCGTGCATGGATCGAAATGCACGGTTTAAGGAATACTGTATAAATTAATAGCTATGATTCCATATATACTTTGGCTTTAGATACTGTATCAACTTCTTGGAACAGAGATAATGGAGGGAATCAGCTGAGGACCCTGACTTACACGATTATGCTGAACAATCCACTTATTGGAAAATTCACAACTGCAACAGAAAAACAGGTATAAAACTCAATTGGGTCAGATTGTATTGGACCAGCAGAAACCACAGAATATGAATAGCTGGACTCTGTGCTATGTAGGGCTTTATAGGTGATAGCCAGCACCTTGAATTGCACCGGGTAGCAAACTCTGGAGCATAGGTGTCACGTGGACATGCTGAGCAAGCCCATCACTGCTCATGCCGATCAGCAGATCAAGTGTCAAAAAGAAAAAATTGCAAATATGTGATATCCTGCAACCATTGACAGAATACCAGGAGAAAACAATAAAAATGCCTCTATTTTATAGAAATTGGGCATATTTTAACATATATATATATACACATATATATACAATTAAATATATACACATATATATACAATTAAATATATACACATCTATTTAATTGTTGCCTAGTACCATCTTTGTTTTAAAATGGATTAAAGGACAATGTTTTGAATGACCAAATGAATAACTTATTGTGAAATGTATTATTGCATCATTACTCTTATTCTAGACTTGCTTTCCCCAAAACCAATGTTCACCAGCTGTCCTTGAGCAACAATTCCCATAATTCCTGATCAGTATGTTGGCTTGGATTATAGAAACTGAAGTCCAATTTCCACTGAAGGCAACAGATTGGAAAAAGCCACATTAGGTTATTACATAACTATATAGTGTTATCATTTTAAAAGCATATTTTCTTTCAGCAGATCTACATTTATTGCAGTGCAATAATTATCAAAATTATTTTTTGAATGTCATTTTAAAAAGGAGGCCTTCTCTACTTCTTTAATAGGTGCTGCATAAACGAAGCCACAAAGATCGGTCTTATCGAGTAGATACAGAGGTGGTGACGCATGACGTGCCTTACCACGATTACTTCTACACTGTGTACAGTTATGTTATCTCTCATATGTCCAGTCAAAAATGCAGACTCCGGTGAGACATTTCATTTAATGAAAGTAGGAAAATTGGAAACAGTAAAAGAGCAGCTTTTTTCAGCATGGTAAAATTGGTGCTGGTTCTGCAGAATGTCTATTTCATATGTTGAGGAGAAGAAGGTAGCATAGAAATGCCAGAGTTTCTTTTGTACACTTGGATGACTGGAAAATGATCTCTTGACAGAAACAAACATTTGCTACTTTTTTTGGTTTCATTTTTTCCCCTTCGAAAGTTTTAGTAGACTTTTTTTAACAAGCTAATATTGGCTATATGATCCATAGGAGCTCTAAAATTCTGTGGGTGTGCTGCACACCTGTCATCCCAAGTTACATTACAACAGAGAGTTGTGAAGTGACTAAGTATTTTCTGTATTTCCTCATTCAGTTCTCAGCATGAATGTTCAAGATGTTACCTTAGTGATCATGCTTTGTAGTATACAGCTTCTTGCTTCAAGTGACAAGACTGAAAAATTGCTCTCAAAGTGGGTGAAAGGCCAATCTTTCCTATAATCTTAGTTATATTCCAGTCAGTTGTTAGCCTTATTCTTGTTTGTTGCAGGATTTCCTCAGAAGTGAAATACAGAAAACAACCATGGGGGCTTGTTAAGAATATAATTGAAAAGAATACATGGAGTGGGATCCAGGAAAATTTTAAAAATCTTGGTAAGTGTTTTGCCATCATTCCTGATGAATTATATTGTTTCCATGGCTTTTATATTTGATTAGCTTAGCTAATTAGATATAGTGAACTCTTGCAATTTCAAAGAAACAATACAAAGAACAGTGTACTTAGCTTTTCAAATTAATGTAACATAGTTTACTAACTTTTTTTATGACGTATATACTCTGATCTTCAGTCCTCAGATAGGTGTCCACTCTAGCACATCTCTTATTTTAATTCTTTACTTAGTTTATATTCTGTTTTTCTTTTCAAAAAGAATACTCGGTATGGCTTATAGGTTAAAATGATGCATGCAGGAAAAAACAAAGTACAACAAAAATGAAAAGCAAATTAAAACATGAATAGTAAACAAATATAATCCATCTAATAGAAAAATACCATTAAAATATTCATTTGTTTTTCATAGTAACACCTCATTAAAACATTGTTATTCCACTATGAACCATCAATTTTTTATAGTAATTTTATTAAACATTACAATTAAAAAGATAAAAACTAATACAAACTAAAAAAGTAAGAGAATAGAAAGAAAAAATAGAAAGTGCAGAAAAGAAAAAAGAAAACATAG